GTGGCTAGTTGGAGTTCTATATGCCTCACTTATCTGTATGTCTAATTCTTCCCTTCTGTTTGGGAAGTTTTCTGTCATTAATTCTGTGAAGAGCTTTTTTAGGTCATTTGCGTTTTCTCCTGCTTTTTCATGAATTTCTATCAGTCTTATATTATTTTTCTTTGCATTGTCTAGAAGTTGTTGGATTGATTTCTCATGGTCCTTTACTGTTTTTGAGAGACCTCTTTTTTCATGGTCACTGACTGCGATCCTATCTTCTATATCTGAAATTCTATTTTTGCAATCTTTTATTCTGTTGTGTACACTTTCAATAGAGTTTTTAATCTCCTGGATATCTGTTTGAATCTGTTTTATGGATTCCATTTCTTTCCTCTGTTGGGCATTCATTGTTTCCATTTCTTTCTTATGCTGAGTCTTCATGGCTTCTATCATGGTCTTGAGCTCATTTTTTTTGTCAGTTTCTATTTTAAAGTCTCGAATCATGAGTTCCATTTTGCTCAACATCTCTCTGGTTAACTGGGAAATTATTTCTGATTTGAATTTTTCTAGAGCCTGATTGATCTGTTTTGTTACCTCCTGTGCTATGGGTCCAGGGTGTCCTGTTGGTTCACTATCAGGCTTTTCATCCTCATTTGTCCTATTGTTTGCTATTGATGAACTGGAAATCTGTCTTTGTGCCTTGCTTAAGTGTTTTCTCATTTTTATTTTTGTTGTTAGGTTGTCCTTCTTTAATTTCTGGGTATTACTTAAATCTTCCTGATATAGTTGTGTTTTAGCTTTTGAGTTTCTAATGACTCATAGACATCCTCATTTTTATATCGGAGAAAACAACTCTTTAAATTGATCACAACCCTTTGCCCCTATTGATACATTCAGCAGCCCAATAGGATCAGGCACAGCTTGCCAACTGACCACTTGTGGTAGTCATTAATGTATCACCTTTAACCCATGTGAATTAAATTAATATCAAGAAGCAGTCCATAATATGTTTGCGGTGAATATGCTTTTCAATATACCATCTTCACCATTTAGGATGGGGGGTTAGACTGGGTTAGGATGAGACGAGTAGATAAGTGAAAGAACTGGAGCAGGTCTGAAGTGAATGCAGAGGATGTAGAATGACCTTACTGTCTTTACAAAGCTATTAACTTCAGGGGGGATACAGAGAGTGCAGGAATAAGGACAAGATTATATCTCCTTAACAATAACAGGCACTTGCCTTCCCTTGAAGATACAGAGCCATGAGTTAGGTAAAATGATTGGAGAAAAGAACACAAAGAGAAAGCTCCCCCAAAAAGAAAAAATAATAAAAGAAGAAGTCTGAGTTAGGGCAGGAGCCGGAATAAAAAGGGAGATGAGGGATAATATGGTGGAGCAAGAGACTGAGTTAGAGAGAGAGGACAGAGAAAAGAGAGAAATTTAGGGTGGAACGAGGAAAGGAAAAAAGAGAAAAAAATAAAAGAATTTGAAGGGCCTCTTTCAGACTATGTCTCTGTTCTCATATTATACCACATGTACAGCCATATGCAGAACTGAATCCCCTGGTCTCGACTAGCTAATAGCAGTTCCCCACGACTGGGACTGATCTCAGTCCACAAGGCCTAACTTGAGTTTCTCAACCCTCACGGTTAAACTCCACTCAGTTCTATTACAGGTTTACCCCTGCCCTTTCTTTAAAGATGTTTAAAGTTGGGAGCTCAGAAAACTACCCTTTATGAGAGCCTATGCCTCTGCAGAGTTGGTCCAAGGAGGTTTGAGCACCCGCGAGGCTACCTTCCTTGCTGGGTCTGGTGGCACGCAGTCCGGGAGGTCGCGCACCCGCTGGAATTCAATACTCTTAACAACTACATAGGACAATGACAAAAACTTCAGCAAGGAAATGAGTTGATCTACACAAGGAAAAAGTGACCTTCCAGATGCCCAGAGAGTGGTTACTCCAATGAGAGAATCATTTTTCTCTGCAGGATATGACTTTTTCTGAAGTAGGGCACAGCTCAGGTTACAAAGAATAGTTAATAAATACAAACTAATTGAAACAAATGTTACGCATATTATCTGACCATGCAGCACTGACATTGGATCAGTGGCTAAGGAAACCATCAACAGCCACACAAACACTTGGACATTAATATTCATAACTAGTGGTTCACTACAAGAATTGTGGGAGAAATTAAAAATTCCAAGAATCAAATCATACTGCTGATAAAACAGAAAATAAAGAACATGTATTTTATATGCACAATACAATACTACTCACCATAAGGAGAATAAATTGGAGTTATTTCTAAGAAAATGTATCTTGAGGTCATACTAGGAGAAATTAATGAGACCCAGAATGTTAAATATCAAATGTTTTCTCTAATGTGAGCGACCCAAATAATAAGTAATGAAAAGAACAAAGAAAGGAGGCAGAGTTTTTGAAGATGGGAGGAGCATCTGAGGACAGAAGGAGAAGGGAGAGTAGGAGGGGAAGGGGAGTAAAAAGGATCAAGATGTGACCGTGTATGAATGAGTTTCCTAAGTGGATGTAACTTTTAAGGATCACAAAATGATAGTAACTTAATCATAAACAGTGAAGCTACTACAGAATTCCTGGGTTAGGAGAAAGTATTCTCCAGGATTTCTTCGGAGCACATTCAGAGCCCTTAAGAAAGGACCTCAATTACAGAGCACAGCACCACTGGGGGAGACATTACCTGCCAGGGATGGAACGTCCTCCTTTCCGCATTTCCGATTGGCTGCATCTGCACTTGGTGTAGAAGCATCGCGTGGAGGGCGTGGGCCACCGCATACACTGCATTGTATATATTATAACTCGCATCGCTCAGGGCTGTGTCAAAACGACCTGCTGGCAACCGTGCCAAAGAGGCATTCGGGGCACAGTCCTTCAGGGCACAGTCAGAATCGGATATCAAGCAGTTGAAATTCCAGTACCAATACTGATGGAGGAACGTGTCTTCTGGGTACTTGGAGGGGTTCACCGTCTGGATAAAACGTGTAAAGCCAGAGATCTCCTCATGGTGATTGGCAAAAATGAGAGTCCCATGCAACGAGTCAAGGATGAAGTTTTTCCCTGTGAAGTCCGCATGCCATTGTGAGTTGGTGACCCAGACTCTCCATGACAATGCATGTAGTTCTATCTTATGGTTTATATCATTTAGACTCTCACTATCACAGTAAATGATAACCACACTTACTGCAGGTGATTCTCCAGCCAGGAAGTCAAGTTGTGGTGAATGTAAGACATATGTTATGGCATCATTTGAGATAATTTTCACGAATGCCACACAGACTCCGTTCCCCGCCATCTCTGCTCTGACCTCTGAGAGGAACTGAAGTCCTTTCGGACCTTCTGTGATGACCAGTCCCACCCAGGTCCAGCTGAAGTGAAGCATCAAGGAGACCATGCCACGGGCCAGAGATGTGTCCTTTGGAGCCATTTGATAGAGAGAGGGAAACTGGCCATTGTCACTCAGGATAGGATCAAAAGAGCCATAGGTCAGCTACAAAGATAATCGGAAGTGTTGGGAGTTTAAGCAAAGCACAAACATACACATGAAAAGTATTAACAACAAGAAGGAGATATTTGTTCCTCCCATCTAGGAACTTACCTCACTTCTTCAGAATTTTCACTTTTGAATAAGTGATCAGTCTCTGACTTATGGAAAATTATTTGCTTTCCTCTCTCCCTCCCTCCTGCTACAGATGGAGAAACTTAGGGTCACCCATCAATTTCTTTGTGCTTACTGTTTGAGACTGATATCGGAACCCATTTTCCACTTTCTGTCATCTTGAGGAAGATCAAAGAGGAGACACAACTTCACCTCACCCCTTCCTCCACCCTCACCTGAGGAAACTTGTAGAGCTCCAGCAATGGTCCGGTTTGAGCAGATGTTGCCAATGATGTTCCTGTCAGTAAGGCTACAGACTTGCTCTCTCTTCCGCAGCTGTAGTTAGGGATCTCATCCTGTCCCGTGTGCAAGATGAGGACATTCTGCAGTGTATTTCCATGGTTGTGCAGGGAATTATGGGATTCATATCCCAGAGATATGTTGGGTAAAAGGTGGGGATTCCTGTTGATCTCTTCAACAGCACAAATGAAAGCAAGAACATTTTGGTAACTGTTGGGCCTAAGCCTGTGTAGAGAGCAGAGAGATCCTTAGGGAAAAGACACGATGCTTGATTGCCCACAAATCCAGTACTATACCACTTATGAAGTCAAGGGTTGTGATCCTCCCCCAAATTCATATACTGAAACACTAAATCTTGACATCGTGGCATTAGAGGGCTGTTTTTTGGAAGGTACGTGGTATTGGATAGTTATTTAGGACATAAGGGTGAGTTTCATATGAATGGGAGTAGTGTCCCTCAAAGATAAAAGAAAAAGAGCTTCGTAATTCTTTCATGTGAGGACATTGACATGACCAGCACTCATAAACTGGGGTGCAGATGCTGTCTTAGTCTTTGTAACCACAAAGTTATGTAAACATGTACTATTTTAAACATGCAGTTCTTGGCACAATTTTTTTTCGTGGCACAATTTTGTATAGGAAGCTATGTTTAAACAATATCTGAAATCAAGATAAACACCTAGCAAATTTTATCTGTTCTTGTAAGATCTAGCTCCTGTATTGTCTATGATTTATATTTTTTCCATTAAGTTTACTGTTACATTTAAAGCAAACAATAAATTTTCATTTATCATTGGGATCTTGCCCTTTACATGTCTTTTATTCTTGTTTTAACCCCATACCCCTGTGCTCCCTTCATCCTGTTCACCCTTCCCTATTTACAAAGACTTTCTTTCCTTTTTTTCATTTTCATATTTTTTCTTTTCCTCTATTCCCTTTCCCCTCCCCTTCCCAATTCCCTTTTAGCCATTTTCTTCCTAGTTCACACTCCTAATTATACCATTTGAACCTTATTTACATTTTTAGATTTTCATATCAGAGAAACTACTTGGTAGTTACTCAAGAGTGTCTTATTTATCTCATTTGAGAACATATCCTCAGTGTACATGAATTTACCTATAAATGTTTCTAGTTTCTTATTATTTATGGCTCAGTAGTATTCCTTTTTATAGAAAAACCACACCTGCTTTATCCAGTCTCCAGTTGATGGGCATGTGGGTTGTTTCCAAGTTTTAGCTATTATGAACTGTGCTGCTATAAAAGTGGGTGCACATATATCACTGTGGTATGATCCTTTTAATTCTTTTGGAAAGATACCCAGCAGAGGGAAAGGTGGGTCAAATGGAACCTCTAATCCTAGTTCTTTGAGGTATTTCCATATTCAGGTCCACAGTGGTTGCACCAGTCTGCACTCCCACCAACAACTGAGAAGTGTTCTTTTCTCCCCAAAACCCTGCCAAAATTAATTACTGGTTGATTTCTTAATAGCAGCCATTCTTTCTGGGGTAAGATAGAATGTCAGTGTTGTTTTCATCTGTGTCTCTCAAATGATCAGTGATGCTGAACATTTTTTCATATATCTATTTGCTGCTTTTACTTGTTGGCATGATAAAATTGTTTATTTCAGATGCCCACTTTTGAATCAGGTCTTATATTTCAGGTGTCTAAGTTTTTTGATTTCTTTATATATTCTAGATAATAGTCCTTTGTCTGAGGAGTAGCTGGTAAAATTATTCCCCACACTGTAGGTTGTCTTTTAGCTCTGTTGGTGATTTCTCTTGCACTGCAAAAACTTTAAAAAAATTTTTAATTTTTTTCTCATGGAGTTTATCAGTACATTTTAGGTATACAGTACAGTTATATTCATCATTGGGATCTTGTACCTTTGCATGACAGGTCTTGGTTCTCTTTTTTCCCCCGTATCCCTGCCCTCCCTTCACTCCCTCCTCCCTTCCCTATTTAAAAATTATTTATTTCCATTTTTTCATTTTCTCATGTTTTTTTCCCTTTTCCCTTATGACCTTTCCCCTATCCTTCCCATTTTTAATACAATGATATCCCAATTTTTTATTCTTTGTGTAAGTTCTCGTGCTGCTAAGGATTTGTTCACAAAGTCTTCTATGCCAGTGTCTTTGAGAGTTCTACCATACTTAATTTCCAGTAAATTAAGTATTTCTGTTTTGATATTCAGATCTTTAATCCACTTGGATTTTAGTTTAGTGCATGGTAAAAGATACAGATCTAATTTTAAACTCTGGCAAGTTGAAAGCCAGTTTTCCAACACCATTTGTTAAAGAGGCTATCTTTACTCCGGTCAGGATGGTTGGCTCCTTTGTCAAGGATGAGGTAGCTGAGTATGTCTGGTGCTGTTTCTGCATCTTAGAATCTATTCCATTGATTCTTGGGTGTGTTTCTTTGCCAGTACTATGCTGTTTCCATCACAGTGGCTTTGTAGTATAGCTTCAAGTTGGGAATTGTGATATCCCCTGCCATGTCTCTGTTGCCTAGAATGTTTTTTGCTATTCTAGGTCTCTTCTGGTTCCAAATGAATTTTTGGATTATTTTATGTAGTCCTGTGAAATATGCTGTTGGGATTTCAATAGGGATTGCACTGAATCTGTATAGCAGTTTTGGAAGTTTGGCCATTTTCACTATGTTGATTCTTCCTACCCAGGAGCAAGGGATGTCTTTCCAATTCTTATATCCTCTTTGATCTCTTTTTTTCTGAATGCTGTAATTTTCAGTGTAGAGGTATTTTGTTTCCTTTGCTAGATTGATTCCTAGATATTTTATTTTTTGTGTTATTGTGAAAGGAATTGTTTCCCTAGTTTCTTTCTCAGTGAGTCTGTTATTTGTGTACAAGAAGGCTATTGAGTTTTGAGTGTTGACTTTGTATCCCACAGCCTGCTGAATCTGTCAGTTAACTCTAGCAGTCTTTTGGTGAAGTTTTTTTTATCCTCCATGCAGATTATTGTATCATCAGCAAATAGTGACAGTTTAAATTCTTCCTTTCCTTTCTCTATTCTTTTATTTCTTTCTCTTGTATAACTGCTGTGACTAATGTTTCTAGAACTATAACGAACAGGAGCAGTGATAGTGCACACCCTTTTCTTGCTCCTGATTTCAGCATGAAGGTTTTTAGTTTCTGACCATTTAGAATGATATTGGCTGTTGGTTTTTCATAGCCTTTATCAGGTTGAGATAAAGACTATCTATTCCAATTTTCTGTATGGTTTTTATCATGAATTTGTGTTGAATTTTATTGAATGCTCTTTCTCCATTTATTGTGATAGTCATATGGTTTTATCTGTAATTCTGTTAATACAGTGGATTGCATTTGTTGATTTACATATGTTGAACCATCCTTGAATCCCTGGGATAAATCCAACTTGTTCAGGGTGTATGATCTTCTTGATGATCTTCTGTACTCTGTTTGCTAGTATCTTATCAAGGATTTTTGCATCTATGTTCATTAGGGAGATTTGCCTGTAGTTCTTTTTTTTTTTGGTTGGGTCTTTCCTTGATTTTGGAATCAAAGTTATACTTGCTTCCAGGAATAAATTTTTTTTGTGTGTGAAATTTCTTAGCTTTTATTTACTGAATAATTTCTTCAACTGGAAAACTTCATGATAAGATATTTCCTACAAACTACTGCATTTTCCACATCTTCTACTTAACCTTGTTGCCTTAAAATACAGTGGGATTCTCCAAAATTTGAATCTGACATCAATGTTTCCAAATTTAAGCATAAGACTTGTAAGAGGGAAATGTTTTCCCTTCCTCATGATTCACAGGGGCCGTAGGAATATCTTCATATGAATTTTCTTCATATTTAGCCAGAAGAATTCCTCAGAGTTCAAATGGCAGGAGAGAGGAGGGCCTTAAGACATCAATACACCTTTTTGGCAATGTGAAAATGTTGGAAGAGCTCTTCAACTTTTTTTCTTCTGGTACCAGGGACCAAACTCAGGACCTTGCACTTGCTAAGCAGGTGCTGTGCCAGTGAGCTACATCCCAAGCCCTCAACTTTTAACTGGTTTCCCAGTTTAAAAAAAGAAAGGTGGGGCAGAAACAGAGAAAGATGGTCAGAAAGAGACACAGAGAGATGGATATAGGACAGCAGACTTCCTTAAACAGCACAGACTCTATCTAGAAAGAATGAAGAAATCCACATTCCCCCATGACCCAGAAGACAAACACCATGTATAAGAAGGTATTTCAGGTAAAGAGCATTCTAAAGGACTACAACAACATTCAAAACAAAGACTATATCTAGATAAAGAATACTCTACTCAGAAATATTTGGAGAACCATATACCTGGAAACTCATGCAAGTAATATTTTTGCGAGTTAAAAGTCACTATGAATTACAAGTTCTAACTAAAACCTTAATCAGTGGCAAATCTAATCTCTCAAAACTTAATCTGTGGCACATCTCTATTAACTATTACACTGTTTTATTTCTTTAAAAATATTAATCAAAATGGATATATTAACCAGGCCTTCTAATTTCAAATATGACTGCATGAAATTATTAGAAACTCTTAATCACAGACATTCTTCTATATAAACATGAGTTTTTAGTTTAAGAAGATGCGATTAAATCACCTCTATTAAATACATACATTTTCATGTATGTGGAAAAATAAATTTATATTTACTTCAAGAATAAGTTCTATAGTAAACAATTACAGCATTTATTCAATAAGGAATATAAAAATAAGTCGTTAGCAAGTAGCCTCAATCATATACATTGTAATTAATCATGTACATATTCAAAAATCACCAGAAATAGGATATTTATAGAACATCTTAAAGCATGTCTTGAGAACCAACCAAAACAGTTAATTAAATTAAGAGAACACGCACTCAAAATACACATCCATATTTGACATGTACACAAAAATTAAAGGAAATAAGGGGAAATTAACTTTCAAAATTTCTGCAATATAATGTTAGTATTTAAGCCAAGACACCTGCAAAATAGGATAGTTTGAGGTATTTCCAATGCTGAATTAAGTTTCTGAATGTTAAATACCACAAGAACAAATACAATGTGGGCAGTGATCTCTAGTCTACAAGGGAGGCAAAGGATGAAGATCTACCATGGCATCTACCTAGAACTACCTAGAACTTCTACAGACAACGAGGTTATGGACCAGCATTGGTACTGATGATAGCTAGTGGAACTAGATGAACTATATGTACTCTCCTTCCCAACAACC